GTCCGTGTCCGTGTCGTCAGCAGCAGAAACAGCAACAACAACAACAACAACAACAGCAACACCAAAATCAGCCGCACAGCAGCAGCTTCCCCATGGTAACATCCATGGCAGCGGCAAAAATGTGCAAAAAATTAATTGCTGCGCATAAATCAAAAGACTTTGCTCCTGTACTTGGCCTCCCACCGCCCACTTTTCCAACGCCCCATTCTTTCGGTCTGGCAGCCCCCCAATCCCCAATCCCCAACCCCGCCCCTCCTTCACCATGGTCACTTGTTACTATTTCTGATTTCCATCAGCACTCTTATTATGGCCAAGTACGATATATGTACCTATATCTCAAGATGCAATTTGAAGCCTCATTGTTTTTGGATTCGTTGGTGTGATGGCATCAAGGCCACTTTTGGATGGGGTCCAATGCACCACCCATCCACACCCCCTTTTTCGAAGGTGCTTCAATGGAATCGCACTGAAAACAGAAGGCAGCGAAATGAGAAATGCGAAATGGGAAAGACAACAACAGCTGTTCTCAGTGCCCCTTGATTACCGGAAGTTTTGCCATAAAATCGCGGGAGAGAGACGCGATGCAACGACCATGACAGAACCATAAAGAAGATATAGTATAGATATATAGATCCACCCCTTCGATTTGCCAGCCAAATACATTATCATCATCATCGTTAATGGCAATCGTTTAAACACGCCTGATGGATGTCTTTTTTATGACTGTCAAGCTCCTCGGGTCTTCATTTGCCGATTGACTGATGTGCATTGGGCCAATATTTCAATGCATTGTTGACTATATTGATAAAGTTCACTTCATATATTGATCGCCAATAAATCATTCAATTAATGCTGAAACTTATTGTCAGTCCGTGAAAAATCGTTTATTAAAAATAATGTGCAGCAAGTCACTTAAATTATTCAATATTATTTACCGCCTCTTTTAGTGTTTTTTAATTGATAATGACTTTAATTGACTTTACACCACAGAGCTCATTAATAATTCTGCAAATATAAATATATCATGTTTTGAAATAATTATTATTACTTACAGACGACAATAATGATTTAGGTTTAGGTATAAAAATATTTATACCGATTGATAACAAAATATTTCGATCGTTGTTGTTAAAAAAGTTCAATATCTAAAAATATATATTTTGGGCATGATTTGTTTATTCAATTGCAGCAGATTTCTAGTGACGACTCAATGAGATAATTGTTAAGACTAATACAAAGCTATGCCCACAAATATTTGAAACCTTTGTTTGGGGGCTGTGGAAATGATTGCCCGACATCAATGGAAAAACTTTTTCCCGCATTCCATGGTTGCAATTTGACCCTCTATCTTAACAGCTACCAGCAATAAAACCATCGATTTGTTGCTTCCATACACTGAAATATTTTTATGCGGATCATAATTCCCGACACTCTTGGCACTTGGCACTTGGCAAGGCCATTTACAGTTGGCTTCTCTGATTGCTGTTTGTTATGTGCGGTTTCTGTTGGCTTGCTCACTAAATTAAAGAATAAACAAAGTCTGGGTGTCTCATGCCGCATATTGTATACCGCATATCACGTATACGTCATAGGTGCCGCCCATAAAAAGTAACCATGCATGGCTGAAAAAGCAGAGCGGACTGTAAATAATGCACTGGCGATTTATCAGCCAGACACAGTTCCAGTTTCAGTTGCATTCATTGGACCCATGTATAAATGTGGGGGCAAAACCCAAGCACCAGAATATCTAAACGCCGCGACTATTCAAATGCAATTTCGTAATAGTTGTAAAGCCAGGTCCCATGGTGCCCCAAAAGTAAAAAAAAAAACGGAATAAACAAGATAGAACGCTTCGAGTTCTGCGGCTATGGTATGTTCAACCCTTTGAAAAAGCCAAACTTTGAAATACACTTCCCTACTGCGGGCCTATAGATTGGAGAAGCTTTTTAAGTACAATTTTGGTAATTGTGAAAAATACTCTTCAAAATCTGTAGAGATATAGAGTATTTATTTAATCAAACAAATCTATATTTATAACTAACTTATTAGTACATTAAATATATTAAAAGTAAGTACTATAAATCATGTGGGCCTATAGATTGTAGAAACTTTTTAAGACTATTTATTTAATCAAATAAATATATATTTATAACTAACTTATTAGTACATTTAATATATTAAAAGTAAGTACTATAAATCATGTGGGAATCTATAGGCTTTTTTTAGAAACTTTTTAAGTACGATTTTGGTAATTGTGAAAAATACTCTTCAAAATCTGTAGAACTAATATATATTTATAACTAATTTATTAGTACATTAAATATATTAAAAGTAGTTACTATACATCGTGTTAAATATATTACAGCTCTGCTTTTAAACCAAAAAGCGTCATCAAAATCTGTAGAGATGTAGAATGAGAAAAATTGGTGGCTAAAACATTCCAGACCCGAACTGGTCTGCCCGGAGTTTTGCTTTTTTTGAGCGGTCTGCTCTGAAACCCAGCCCACGATCTTTTTGTTGGCTTAGCCCCGTTAAGCCTCACACTAATTACACTTGCGCTTTTCACAGATCCACACACATAAACTCTGCTCACATGACTACAACATTTTTCTTCTTAGCCCGGCCACAAAAAACTCGAACATATTTTCATTTTCATGGTCAAAGTGTCAGTCGAATTGGATGGGTGGGGAAAACGAGACCAAGGGAGTGGTAAAAATTGTAAATGAGAGTTAGGACCGGTACAAAATATGCAAATGAAAGCTGCTGTCTCCATATCCGTTTCCTTTAACCATCCTATTTTTTGGCATGACCGAAAGTTAAGCCCGCAAATCTTGATTTAATTTCCGGCTATTAAGCTGGGATGAAAAATTCTGGGCCTGCAAATAGTTGTGGTTAGAACAGGGAAAGTGGCGACGCAGCTCATTAGGATTACAAAAAAGTCACGTGTCTGGTGGGAAATGATATACAGTGATTTCTTTTTTTTTACAAATCTTTGGAACTTTACAGAATTTGCCGTCTAGCTATTTCTATGAACAAAGAGTTGCAGCATACCTTAAAGCCATTTAGATTTTTAAAACTGAAGTCACACAATAAAAATAAAATGTAGAATGACTGTTTTGTTTTGTATTTACAATAAGAAACCGTTACTGAAAAATATAAAAAAAAATGTATTTATTCGAAGCTTATCAGACCAATTGTTGTTGTTTCATTTAATTAGGCAATGAATCATGCTTGAGCCTTTTAGTTTCTTTGGTGTTAACATATTTATAAATATTTATTCAGAGAAATTAAATAATTTATGTACGTGCCACATTTATATATCTTAGAGTACCACTACAATTCTTGCATTTATTTAAGAAGCCTATGGTACATATCCTTTATCTAGCGTGTGCAAAACAGATTTCACTATGTTATCTTCAGACCAATAAAAACGGACACAAACTCATGTCCTTGCACCTCGGCCACGCAGGAGCCATCTATTGCCGGCTTTATGACTCTGCCAATGAATGGACACATCCTGGCTGGCCAAGGACCCTCGGCCACCTTTCCGGCCACTCTATTATTTATTTATAGAAAGTTGGCAGACTCACGCCTGGGGCCAAGAATTTGGTCCTTTGCTGCTTGGCCGCCTCCATTCTGTGACAAATGAATTTGGGTCAAAAGTTGTGCAAATTAAAAAAAAAAAAAACAACGATAAAGGAAAAGGACTAGGAAAAGCATCGTCCTTTGGCGGATGTCAAAGTTCCTTCAAACAGGACCGAAAGATTCGTCTCGCCTTTGACTCGCCTGAGTGACATTCAACTGGTCGAAGTGCTGAACCGAATTGCAGTTTTATTTCCATTCACGTAGCTCCAAACACGGAATGCTGCCCCTGCCCAACAAAACTAAAGAAAAGATTAGACAAGTGTACCGACTAACCGCTACCTACTAAACAGCTAAAAAATGTTTAGCACTTCCTGAATGTTGGGTATACCAAAAGGTATCAATAAGGTTAAGGTTAAGAAATAACCTTAGTTTCAATTTCTCAATGTAATGTTAAGGTGCTACAGATTAAAACTGTAGAATAGATAAAATTGTTAAAAATTTGTTTGACAGACAAATCTTTACGGTGCCTGAATCTAGTTTATTGCCAAAACGAGTTTAGAATTTTCACTCTGATAAATGTTTTAGGAACAGGAATTTAACTCAAGGTTAAAACATAACATGACAATGAGAAATCGGCCCTTATTCATATATTGCCTTAACTGTTGCTGTTGTCAATCCAATGTATGTATTTGATAGGGCTACATTCATTACCACGAGTATGGTATACCCCTTGTACTCCACACATAAATGGGTACGAAAAGCACATAAAAAAAGGGGGACACCAAAACGTTACAAAAGATTTACACCATCGAAACCTCAACGCCATCTCCGCATCCGCATTCGATGCCTGCTTCTGCTTGTGGGCAATGCCATTACTTTTTCAGTTTGCTGGTTTGAGTAATGGATTAGATTTTTACTCACTTGTTTTGGGTTTCCCCGCATCGCCAATGGATGATAGTGTGTTCGTTTTTTATAGTCCCCAAAAAAAGGATATCACGCTGTTGATGGAGGGATGCAGGGAAAAAACTTAAAAGAACTTACAACTCGGGTTTACCTAAGAACTTTGCTTGATGGTTTTCTAAAGAGGGTGAACCGGACGCATCCTTAAAGTTCGATGAAGTGATTCCTCCCATACTTGCAGCAGTTTGATTTCTATCGTGAATCATCTATTAGGTCAATTTGTACAAATTAAAAAACTTTAGATATCATTTTTCAAGCTTTTTGGCTGAGAAAGTTTTTTTAATTTAATGACACTGAGGCTTAAAATAATTTAATAATAAGTTTCTAGATTTACACTAATTTTTTGTTGCTAGTAATTTTACTTTTTTATAATTATCTACAATGTTACAATTTGTATTTCGATACTAAGGTCATCTTTAAAGCGATATATTAGCTTGTTGTCATCTCAGTAGGTCTAGCACTTTGTTAGGTTGATTGTAAAAGGCCAAAAATTATTCAAGGCAGAACGTGTTGGGAGTAAGTACAAAAACCAAGTTGCATTCGTTGAAAGTACTTTCATATAAATAGATTTTCATTCAAGCAGCCGTTATTGTTCTGTCTTGAATGCTTCTGATCCCGAAATAATTTAATAATGTTAACCGCACTGATGGCACGAACGACGGCAGTTTCGCTGACCGTTTATGCAACAAACCGAGCTGGAGTTTGGGGCAAGACGGAGGAGTCGGATCGCCTGTTGCAGCAGATCACCAAGGGTCTCCATTGGACTGGAGTGATTGGACTGGTGAAACGGGTCCTGCCCTTCGAGCGGACCGACCTGACCGTGGGCCAGTTGGCCCGGGAGTACTACAACCAAGGTGTCAAGGGGACCTTCCACATAATCCGGAACATTCCCAACTACTCGGGTGACCTGGCCGAAGGGGCCAAGTGCACCTGCCTCGATTTGGTCGCAAAAGCCAAGGAGTTGCGTCAACAAGATGGTGACTGGTTGTTTACCATGAAATATAATGCCAAGCCGAAGGATGCGCCTCTAGATCCTGCTCCTCTAGATCCTGCTCCAGGCGATGGCCACTTCCACGAACTCATCGTCATCGAGAGACCGGGGTCTGTAGATGGATTTGCTGGGGACGGCAACGTAGTCCTCAAAGCAGGGAACAAACTGAATGATTAAAAAACACCACATCCACACCCCACCAAAAAAAAAACAACCTCACCATGATTTGCCAAATCAAAATGTTAAATCTTTGAGTAAAGTTCGAGTATTTAAATCAGAGTTTGAAATTTAACTACGTGTCTGCAAAAGCTACACAAAAAGCTATGGCCTAGCTTTAGCAATTAATAAAACCTATTTCATTACCATCACTTTCTGGGCATGAAAAAATTAAGTTGACTATTAACCACTATTGACCAATTTCGTTTGAAAGTATGCTTAAGAACTCGCGTATTTCTTATATTTTAACATATTTTACTTCAACAAAAATACTTTTATTTGCAGTCAGTGTAAGAGCAACAGAAGCTATATACATATATATATATATCTTTATCTTCCTTCTGTTCCTATGCCCAGACACTCGGTAAACAGTGAAAACTGTCAACAGTCTATTAAAATGCCAGTCGAGCCGCATTGCCAACCGAAGTCAAGTCGTGCGAAAAAGGATTTTCCACCCTTCTCCCACCGAAAAGCAAACTGAAGCCAAGCGAACCAAATCAATCCAGTGAAACACCCAACCCTTATCCCATTTCCTTTATCCAGTTGTTTTGCGTGTTGCTTAACATGCGTTTTAATGTGACCCTTGCGGGCCCATAAAAATGGGGCTTTCTTACCTATGAAAATCCCCCTCCGATGCCAGCTTTCCTTTTACCCCTTCTCTGTGTATCTTGTCTTGTAAAACAAAATATAAATAAATTAAAATAAAAATAAAATATAAATATAAATATAGCTCCTTTTCGATGCTATAAGGTATAATTTTAACCATCGTCGATCTGGGCATGGTCTCCTCCTTCTTGTCAAGATCCTCAGACCATTGAATATAACAATTTAAAACATACCTATATACCAAACATTTTTCAAATCGGTCCATTTCTCAAAAAGTTACCATATATCTTACACTTTGAGTTTGCAACATATTTTCCAGCAGGGCAGTTTCTTCACTGGCTTCGATTGATTTCCACTTTTATTGTTGAATGTTAAATAGGCAGAAGCAAACAGTTCGCTGGTGGGTGGGTCATAAAAACCGGGGACTTCAGGTGGAGGATATGGTCGTGCTGGGAAGGGTTGTAAATCCCTTCTTCAACTAAAGTGAAATAAACTTTATGAACAGCTCTAGGCAATTGGCATCCAGAAAATAGGAGATGAAAAACGGATGATTGAAAAACTAGCTTACCTTCTATTTAGCATACAATTTAATTAGTGTAGGATTATTTACATACATTTTCTGAAGAAATAATTGATTAAAACTTTTTCGGGATTTCCTTCAATGTCAGAACTGTTTGATCTTTCAAGCTCTACACCAAATTACTATATATAACATATACATCCCCGAATTCTTGCTATCAAAATCTGAGATTTTTTCAAATTGTATTCTTTTTTTCTATTTTAAACCCTAACATTTTTCCCAAATTCTTGTCTTTTCCAAATTCATACTCTAACATCAAATATTTAAAGTATATCCATTGCATTGTTGTTCAAAGCATAATCCGCGTTGTATCTATTTACATATTTATCTGCGTTTTGCGGGATTCATTTCTGCGACTTGTGATGGAGGATGCTGAAAAGGTTGCGAATCACAGAGGAGGGGGGAGCTGAGAAGGGATAGGGATAGCAATAGGGATAGGGATAAGGGGGGATTGAGGGCTACGTGCCGCGTCTTTTGGCTGACTCTTTAACCGCTTATGCCTTAGATTTATAGTCACGGATTTTATTTATGTCACTTTTCTCATCCTTACCGCTGGCACCATTTTTCTTTGCGGTTTAGCATACAAAACGTCTGGTCCTGGTCCTGGTTTTGGTCGTAGTCCTTGTTTTCTGGCTCTGGTCCTAGCCCTTTTACTCTGCCACATTCCATTCCTCGCTGCTCTTCTAAACGTTGCATAAAATCAATTTCCTTAAGTTCAAGTCCTTGATGATGAGGTAAAGTGTTGTAAGTTTATGCTGCTCTAAAGCGTGGGCTTTGAAGTGGTGCACTGAAAAAAGAGGGTGGATAATTCCCAAACGGAAAATGTTTGCCTTTTAGTTTAGATGTATATATAGTTTAAAAATGATTTAAATCACTACTTTAAGGCTAATAACTAAAAGGTCTTTTTAACAATTTTCTTTAAAAGCTAAACGAATAAAAAAAAAAATGTTAAATATTCCCGCGTAAATTAGTAAAGTTATTTATTGTATAATATAACATTATTTTACAAATAAATCTGTTTGAAAAAACCTATGAATGGAAAATTCCGACACAATTTCGTTGTTTTTCATAGATTCGTATTTTGTATGTTATTTGGTTCCGAACTGATTTCTCAATATCATGTTAAGGATCTTTCGTTATACGATTCGGTAAGAAATTTGCACTGCATACCTTAAAAAGAAGGCTAAACAACAAGTTATAACTAGAAAATGGCCTATAAGAGTTTTCACGATATTACGAAAGGTAAATGTTTTCGAAATAGCATTTAACATTAAAGTCAAGGCTTGACATGACATTGAGAGAACGGCCCTGAGGTGAATACTAGACCAAAGGGAATTAATGTATCGAACTTTAGATGTGGACTTTTATCAACAAATTCTGGGTTGCAACATTTTCGCACAGTGTCCGACGAGTGTGAATGTTTGTCAGACCTTGGCGCTGTTGTCGGCACAGCTGGCGCTGAAGTTCTCGGGGGTTTGGGGTCGTGGGGTCAGGGGGAAAAGAGGCTGGGCTGGGGGTGGCACATTTGGCGCCCAGCCGAGCGCTGTCTTGCATATTTAAGTTGGTCGAACTCCCCCTTGTCTCTGGGCACGGGGAAGGGGGGGGATTGGTGGCTCCGATGTTTCCGTTTAGTTATTTTCCCCATTACCTGGGAACTCAGACTGTTCGTCCTAAAACCAGCTTCATTAGCAGTCGCTATACAAGGGCCCTCTTGCCATATTTTCATACATTCAGTTGGCCACTGCATTCATTTCCGTTCACTTTCAATTCCGTTTATTAATGAACCGACTTGATGCCGGATCCTTTTTCCGGATCTGCCACACTTCAGTTTCTGTTTCTGTTTCTGTTTCGGTTTCATCCTCCTTCAGCCAACTGTGTGCGTGAATATTTTGTGCTAATTTCCGTTTAATTGTTTAATATGTTGTTTGCATTTTCTATTAGCCAAAGTTTCCGCTGTTCATTGTTCTGGCAATTATTATTTTCCGGCTTGCCACTTGGAAGTGACCTGTCTGCAAATTGAGAGATGGTAGACAAGCAGACTCAAAAGGGATCTAATCGAGTTAATAGCCAAAATTAACTGAGCGCTTGTGAAGCCCCGCAAGTTGGGGGATTTAAATAAGTGGGTATTAACTTTGAGTTTTACTCTGCCCGTGTTAATGGGAATTAACATGGAGATACTCGTATTTAGCAAAATAAATTCATTTAAAAGAGAGTCAGGGGAAATGCTCAAAGCTATTTTAAAATTGTATATATCTATGCAAAAAAGTATAAGCTAATTTAATTCTGTTTTCAGCAATACAGGTAAAAGTTTAACAAAACTTTAAGGACAATGCCTTTCCAACAAATAAAAAAGACTTAGATTTAATATATAATGATGATTAATGTAGATTTTATCTAGATAGAAATTTGTTTGATATTACATAAATTATTTCAAATCTGAGATTCCTAAAAGTTTTTTTTACTTATATGGATAAAAATAACAATGAATTAAAATCATGACCTTTAAGTCTACATAAGTCTTAAATATATGTAATATACAGCAACAATTTTAGATGACAGATAATGTAATTTGTAAATAGTTTTAGATTCCAAAACCCAAAGCTAAGATTACAACTTTGATTTTGTATATTTGGATGCCATTTAAATAAATAATTTTCCTGAAGATGTTTTGTTTTTTATAAGATTTATAAATAGACAAAGTTAAACTGCTTTTGAAGTCACCTAGTTTTTGAATTTTCATTTATTGAATTCGAAAACTATCAACTTTTGATTGGAACTAACTTAACTTTTGCCGCAGCCAAGAGCAAGTCGAGCATTTTCCCCATCTCCCTTGGGAGTGGAAGTCCCCATTGGCAGCTGTTGTTTAACCATCTCCCGTGGCATTGGGTCTTAGCCACAGTTAAGACTTCATTTACATACAAGTCCCCCACTCCAGTGCTAATTTAAATCATTTTAATGGCCCAGAAGCGAAGGCAGCTCAGCTAATTCTCGCACAACTCCTAAGCCTGTTCAAATCCCAATGCCATAAATGTGGCGCTGGATTAGAGCAGTCGGAAAATGGAAAACGGGGAGTTGGGAGGTGGGAGGTGGGAAAACCAGGAAAACTCTGGCCATGAATGCACGAGGACTCAGCTGCTCCTCTGGCCAAAGTTGGCACTGAAAAAGCCGGCGGAAAAGGATGTCTAACAGACAATGGAAGCCGCAGCCTTCTTGCTTCGAATCTTCAGTCCTCACTTTCAATTATTCGCTTTCGCTGTTCTTGTCTCGGTTTTCCGCTCTTTTCCCCCAACAATCTCCTCTGGCTCTTGTTCCCTGGCAGTCGTAATAGAATAAAGTTTGCACCATGGGAATTTCAACTGTTGTTTTTCAGCATTTCCCACCTGACCGCCTCCCCAGGTTGAATTTGAAGTTGAAACCCCCACGCAACATCGCCATTTCCACCCACGCAGACCGAGGACATAAAAAGTACATAGATCTTCGCCTGCTGGGGAGCGTCTTTAGCTTGTTGCGAACTTGTAATCCACTCAGCCCCCTCCTTTCATTCGTTCAATCTCTTTTTTCAGTGTGTGATACTTGCCGATGCATGCAGAGAAAATGCCTGTATTTAATTATTAGGTTCCTCTATATTTACTGGTTAAAAAATTTCAAAAATAAGATATATAACGGGTTAAAGATAAATCAACTAATGGAAAATATACATATAACACCAGTGGAAATGAAAAACTTTTACTTATGGAATTACAATTTGTGGAGAAATAAAAGTCATCCCCCGTTTCTTAAAATAAAACGGTGTACTAAAGATTCTCATAATTTATCAGATTTATTATTGATTATTTAATTTCATTTGATAAATTAACAGCTGTTAATTTACAAAATAGATAATAATAAATC